GGGCAGTGAGGTGCAGTGGGGGTTGGGGGTCGTGGTGGGAATGTGCAGGTCGGGGGGAGGGGGTCGGGTGGTGTGTTCGGGGTCAGATAGGGGTTTTTCGGTCTTTTAGCGGTGTTTGGGGGGGGGTGTCAATGGGGGGTGAATTTTTTTTTTTTCTTCTGGTTTTAGTGTTCGGGCACGTAGGCACACGTGCCCGAGGCCTAAAGCGCGAATTCCATTTTTCGGAATTCAACGCCAAGCCCCCGTTTTTGCGTTAAACGGGATTTAACGGGGGTCCACGGGCCCGTTAAACGGATGAACGGGCGTTGAATTTCGCCCGTTCTCCGTTCAAAAAATACAGAGAGAGAGAGAGAGAGAGAGAGAGAGAGAGAGAGAGAGAGAGAGAGAGAGAGAGAGAGTGGAAACATCAAACCATTGCTGCGCAACGAAACCATGCAAACCGACAGGACGACCCTTGCCCAGAAAAAAAAGGGCAAAAAAAAATGTAAAACGAAACTACAAAGGGCATGGCCACACCACTCTCGAAATGTGCGAAATGAGAATGAACTTCCCGCTAGAACATAGCTAGATGCACCCACCACAGTTTTGTCTTTTGCACATTTCGAGAGTGGTGTGGCTACACACCAGACAACGAAACCATGAAAGAGAGAGAGAGAGAAAGAGAGAGAGAGAGAGAGAGAGAGAGAGAGAGAGAGAGAGAGAGAGAGAGAGAGAGAGAGAGAGGAACCACCAAACTATTGCCAGATTGCTGCGCACCCGACAACGGAACCATGAAAACTGACAGGACGACCCTTGCCCAGAATAAAAAGGGAAAAAAAAAAGACGTAAAATGAAACGACAAAGGGCATGGCCACACGGGCCCACACCACTTTTGAAATGTGCGAAATGAGAATGAACTTCCCGCTAGAGCATTGCCAGATGCACCCACCAGGGCCACCATAGTTTTGTCTTTTGCACATTTCGAGAGTGGTGTGGCTACGCCCAAAAGCAGTGCCGCGGACTTGACAAAGAAAAAAAAAAAAAAAAAAACCGACAAAACGACAATTCAACTATCGAACGACTCCCCTTGCAAGATATTGGCGTTCATCTATCGTCCTTGCCCCACCGCCTGCGTGGGCGGCCTCACCAGATTCGTTCTCAACGTGTAACAATTCGTTAAAATGCACCTGCGGCCGCTCCCTGCCCGCCGATCCGGTTCATCCTACCACTGTTGTGCATTTTTGACCCCTTGGCACGGTGCGCAGCTCGCCATCAGCCAACCCCCGCGGCTGATATGCCTTAAGGGGTAGGATATACATATATATATACAGGGTTGCTTGACCGAACGTACGGAGGCCCCTAAGCTAACCTCTGAACGTTCGGGCATTCGGGGTCCCGTTCGGGGCCCGAACACCTCCAGGTTCGGCCCCCGCCAAAAACACTTTCGGGGCCTAAAAATACGTTTTGTTTTCTGAATGTTTTTTTTGTGAGTTCTCTATGATGTAACCTGCACGCCTATAAATTTTGAAACCATTATGCTAAGCCAAAAAAACATTAAACATCATCAAAGATAGGGGTGTCAAAACGTGCTCGCCCACTAACTTTTTGTTTTTTTTTTACTTTTGACTTTTTGTTTTCACTTTATTTCGGGGCCTAAAAACTTTTATTACTTTTTGAAAATGTTTTAACGAGTTATTGATTATGTAAACTACATATCTGTAAATTTCCACGGCAATTGTCCACGCCAAAAAATAATTAAACATCGGCAAAGATGGCGGTGTCGAAAAGGTGCTGGCACACTCACTCATTTTAATTCTCTTTTTATTTTTTCTTATTTTT